AGGCCCTCCCGGCAACACTCATCCTGGGAAGGAAGGAAACACCGTTGCTAAAGGGGTACAGACCTTGCAACACGGATCTGCTACTCGGAGTACTGGAAGCATCGTTGCTAAAGGGGTACAAACCTTGCAATGCCGAGCTGATCATGAAGATCTAAGTACCGTTGCTATGGGGTTATAAACCTTGCAACGCAAAGCCATTCCACAAGGGCGTGCAGACCGCCAGGCTGAGGCAGAAGATGCCGAGCAGAGGAAGAAGGATGAAGAAGAAGGAAAGAAGGAAAGAAGGAGGACAAAGGGCAACGTGATGACCCGGAAGCCGAGAACACTGGTAGGAAGTTTTCATTCACACCGAGCAGTATGGACAGCACAACGACCATCACGTAAGGAGCCAAGTGATGATGCTGGCAAGAGATCTCTAAAATCAATCATCAGATCCTGGAGACTCAAGGGGTACACTGGATCACGGTCGTATTGTGCAATTCGCCTGTGATCGTGTTAGAGGTGAGCCTTACCGTGCTCTGCGCACGAAGCCGACACAGCTTCATGATAGGGTGCAAGCGTCCCGGGAAGCCACCGCATTCTAGGAGCTTTGGCTCAAGGGTTCTAGAGGTTGACGGCACAGGAAGAGGTGCATAAGCATTCAAGTCACATTATTCTTGTGGACGTGGAGACATTCCTCAGATGATACGAAGACGTCCTATGACGCAGAAATTCACAGTAGCATAAAAGCACTGTTGCCAAGGGGCACAGACCTTACAACACGGAGCTCTGACTCGATGACCCGGAGGCACCATTGAAATAAAACCTTGCAACGCAAAGCCATTACACAAAGCCATTACGCGAAGGCGTTCAAGCAACTTGAGCGGGTGGACTTTAGGGTCCATACCATCAACAACAAAGCTACGAAGTATGAGGAGGGTTAGCTTCGCGATGAACCCACCTATGAAGTCGAATAAATCCTGGTTGACCTCCAGAGACCGAGAAGAAGATCAAGATCAATGAAGGACACTTTGTCAAATTCTATGAGTGGAGCACTTCAGGTTTGTAGATCAAGTGCGGAGTGCATGACACCCTATCAAGTCCTATGAGCAGAGCATCACAAGCTTGTAGATCAAATACGTAGCGCAAGGCACCTTATCAAATTCTATGAGCGGGGCACTGCAAGTTTGTAGATCAAGCGGAGTGCAGGGCACTTTGCCAAATTCTATGAGCGGGGCACAACACGCTTGTAGATCAAGTGCGGAGCGCAAGGAAAATTGTCAAATCCTAAGAGCGGAGCATCACAAGCTGGTAGATCAAGTGCGGAGCGCAGATCAACTCTCTCACATTCTATGAGCGAATCATCACAAATTGTAAATCAAGTGTAAAACTCGGAGCAACTCCTCAAGTTGTCAAATTCTTTCATTACTTAAAAAAAATATTTCGTTTTCCAGTCTGGAATTTAATGAGGTCCGACCTCACTTGGAAATGAACGGGCGGCGGCAAAAAAAAGAAGAAGAAAAACAAAAAAGAAAAGAAAATAAAAATTAAAAAAAGAGCAAAAAAAATACTATGATGCCCCGCTCTCGGTGTTAAGACGACCACGGCTCGATCCTCGGGCAAGGATGTGATCAAATTATTTTCTAAGTCTAGGATTACTTGTTCGGTCAAAGCGACCGTAAGACCGGCCTCCGGGTCAAAAAGGTATGCGAGAGGTCGTGCCCCGAGCCCCTCTCGTACATACGTTGTCTTACGTTGCTAGGCTTAGCAGCCCGCATACGCGCTTGACAGGATCAACGGTGCGGGTTCGTTCTGGTCTGATCATGCAGGGCCTTGCCCTTACGTTTGGCCGACTTCAGTTCCACTTTCAAAAAGGGAATAGCCAAAACATTTCCTCAGTATGAAACTAGTTGTACAAGTCAAGGTGTAAGACCGACCTCCGGGTCGAAGGTATGCGAGAGGTCGTACCCCGAGACCCTCTCGTACATCCGTTGTCTGACTGATGGCCGAACAGCTTGCACACTCATGGGTCCCAGATCGATAGTGTGCGGGTCAGCCCCACCTTACCACGCAGGGCGCGATCAAGGTTGGCCCTGCCAACTTTCCGCCCCTCACGGCCTAGGTGGGGAGCCAGATCCTCGATTAGTTCTCCAAGTATTCTTGAATGAAAAACAACTAAGTAAATGGAAAGAACGAACGATGCACGCATACAAGCTCAAGAAATAAAGCAATCATGAAGAATAGTTCCAAGATCACGACCATCTTTTCTATGACAACTTGGAAAACTGTCCCAAATCAGGCTCGTGAGTGACTCCAACTAGATCATCAGGAACCTCCGGGAAGTGTCTAGGAGACAAAGTATCGAGGTCGTCATCATTGCCCACCTTCTCCGCCTCATTAGGGTCAGGTATCATCTTGGGCAAACCAAGCTTCATTCTCAGGGTGAAAGCCTGGAGTATGATACATCAAAATGTCATACAGTGTAGTTTGCATACCATGTTGATCACATCTAAAAGAGAGTAGGATCTCCTCATCGTGATGATTGCAATCCTCCTAGGTCCGTAGCTAAGATCAAATATGCTCCGACCGAATCTTGATCCTAGGAGTGACAAGCTCTAAAAATTCTATAGAGTCCTTGAACACTGCAACTACCTCACTCCCTGCATCCCGGGACGATGCCTCAGTATGGTCTTACTTTAAGTTAATCTCGGACAGAGCATTCATATCCTTGGTCGCAGCCAAGCTCGGGCATGCATATATCATCTGCTCCATGGAAAGCTGTGTAACCTTCAAAGCAGACTCTACTTTGTCCGCCCACTGCTGAGCCTGACGACCCGGTGCTGGTTCGAATCATTCTTTAACATGCTTCCAAATTCAAACTAAACACATGGGGGCAGTGATCATCACCACGCCATCCATTCCGAGCAACACACTCATCTCCGGCCCAAGTTCACCTTCAGGGTAGCATCGTGGCAGCCTGCTTCAGGTTCGTGTCAAGGAGCGAGATCGTCCATCCTTCCCAGACCACTTGCGATCGAGTAATGCTCACGCAAGGATCGATGCATAGCTTGGAAGATCGGATGCAATCACATGCCATCCTCGTCAACAACCATTCATCAAGAAGAAGTAAAGTGGAGGTCCTGCCAATCTCGCTCTCCATGCTATTTGGAGAGTGTCGAGATGGCCTAGCATTTCGACCATCCTCAAATCGCAGAAGGCCAGGCCACTTTGGGTTCCCCGTCCCCTGAACAAGATCATGCAGCCCTTCTACCACTCACATGTATGAGCACATCTGCAGCAGAACTCTCTCACTGATTAACCAAATCACAATGAATGACTCACCCGAACATCGCTCTTTTGCCCTGCATCAAGGAGTCCTCCAAGCACCACTCTCAGTGTGGAAACTTACATCCTAATTAGGGAAGCTTGAAGGTCAAATGACATCGAGAGTTTAATCTCAGACTTTGTTATGCACATCATCTTCTAGGCGTGTGTTGAACCTCAAGTTTGACAAACAACGCCATCATTCCCATTTCAAGACCGGTCAGATCCTCCTTCACTTGGGTGATGACCGCTGCTTTGGATTCATCGTGAAAGGACTAAACGTTGTCATCCTGGTTCTATGATCGGGCTCGCCCACCGTCCTCCCAGATGACGACTATTTCTTCACTGCATCCTCCCGATAACGTCAGACGAGCATTGCTCACAAGTGAAGACCGGTCTTTGCCATTCCCTTAGCAGATGGCGTCCGTAGCAGCTGCATGCAGTGACCGGAGGGCTCACCTTTTTGCTTAATTTGGAAGAAGACCATGGGCTGCTAACCGGACAAACAAGACCACAGGATGCTAATCGGAAGAACAAGACCTCAGGTGGTTAATCAGACAAACATGACCTAAAACTGCTACCCAGATGAAGGAAACCCTATCCTCTCGTAAGCAGTTGGGATCAATGTGCACAACTGTGGAGCTACCTTCTCCCGAGCATACATCGGCTCGGCATCATCAACATACAGCTTTGCGACCGGCCTCTCATGGGCATGCCTTGGCTCGCCATCATCAGCAAACAGTTATGCGGGTGGTCTCTCCCGAGCACACCTTGGCTCGACCGCCACCACTGGCAAACAGCCGTGCGACTGCCCTTTCCCGAACATATTTCGGCTTACCAGTAAGGCAGACACTCAATCAAGAACCGAGGGGACTAGCCTTCCTTTGCTTTATTTTAAGGTTTCGGTGTACTCTTTTTCGTTCACTAGGATTTTTTCCCACCAGATTTTTTCCTAATAAGGTTTTAACGAGGCATCCCCTCATCATAAACAAAGGAAGAAGTCTTCCTGGAAGGAACAAAGAAGATTCCTGGCTGCTGATCAGGTAACCTACAGGACCCCGAGCTGCTACCCAGACAAGGAGGGTCTCATCCTTGCGCAAACATTGGGACCATAGTGGACAGTTACATGACTGACATTTCCAGGTACACCGCAAATCGTCACCATCAACGAACATCTATGTAACTAGCTACCTAGTCTGGCAACCGGGCCGATTTCAAAGCAACTCAACTACTTCCTTTTAGCCGAGTCTATTACTCGACTAAGGGAGTGGGGGACTCGTGTTGGGATAATGGGCCGGGCCCAGTGCCATCAGCCCGTTATCCCTGAGCTTAGGCCCAACTAGACCCAAGACGCAGTCTCACGAGCGGGAGTCACCCTGTGCTCATTACTTATTTATCGGACCGGTTCGCCCATTAGCTTGGAGATGTATGATTGATTTGGACCAAGCCCACATAGATTAGACTTTGGACTTATGATGGATGTCTATAAATAGGCCATCAAACCTCCATGTATTGGGGATAATATTTTACTATACTGAAATGCTGCTAGTTTCTCCACTCGGGATATTTTGTACCAACATGTATAAAATTTGAAGATGATATAGTATAGGTAATTAATTGTTTTATAAAAAGACTAAAAAGTATGGCACAATGATAAAAAAGTTTGAAAGAAAAGATTAAAAAGTAGAGATAGTTGTGTAATTTTGAATGAAAAATTTATCAAAAAGATGTGTTGCAATTATTTAAGTGTAAATTAGAATTGAACTAGGTTGCAACTTGAAAATATAGGAGGATTTTCTGCCTTATGGCAATGGCAGAATTTTCTTGATAAGACAGTTGAAAAAATCAGACACCCAACCTTACTGCTAAATCAAGGTCAGATTCACAACCGGCGGGCGTAGCTCAACTGATAGCAAGGGAGTGCCATAAGGGTTAGGTCCCGGGTTCGAATCCCGGTAACTGCGATGAGGGGTTATTATGCTAAAAATGCACAGGATCTCTGCAAGTACCGGGGATAGAGCCTCATATTGAGATTATAGTCCAATTTACATCCTCCCAACATACGTTCGGTCGGGGTTTGGGGGCCCTCAGGGATGGGGTGTGATCTTTTTTCAAGGTCAGATTCACAAACATTTTGATCGAATGTGGAGGTGCTAATTTAGTTCAACTTGAATTTTTTCGAAAGGATTTAGTTCAATTTGATGGAATCGATGTTTTTCACATCCTTCACGGAGTCGCACTAAATCAAAATAAAATTTCTTTTGACAATTGAAATCCAAAAATACCTCATGATCAAGTTATTCGTTCCCGATTTTACTACCTTTGCTAAGCTTAATTTAAAATTCCTTTTTAAATTTTTTTATGAGCCGCCTTCCATTTCCATGCTATGATCCCCAAGTGCCGGAATTGAACCCTCCGCCAGGTCAACGCCAACGCCGATGCCGATCATTCCCGCCGGACTGCTGGAAAATCTGGGCGACTCCGAGCTCCGCCTGAGAATCTGCTTCATCGCCCCGATCAATTGCATAACCGGGTCCGGAGGCGGGCCAGTAAACCGGAACTTCTTACAGAAATTGAGGTGGCGGTTTAAGGCCTCCTCCGCGCTGATCAGCCGCTCGCTGCGCACAATTTCATCCTTCACCGCCTCCGCGCAGAGCCCGCAGATCCACTGCCCCTTGTACCGTTCCCGGATTCTCTCTATGTACTCTTCAGTGCATTCCTCCGTCAAGCCGCAGCAAGCGCACTTAACCATATCCCCCTCCTCCCACGCCGCCGCAACGACTGCGGCGGCGCTCACCACCACTGATTCGGTAATAATCGAGGTCGACATAGCTGTGGAAACAGAGGAGTTGCCAGTAGAGGCAGAAACTCCTCCCCTGATGTGATCAATTTGAGAAGAGATGGGATTTTTTAAAGACAGAAATGCTTAAAAAGGGAAGAAAATCAATAGGAAAGGAATCTGGATGGTGGCTGGAGAACCCACGGCAACTTTATGTGCTTAGAAATTTCTTGTTAGTTTACAGCAAAATATTCGAGTGCCAGATTGAGTAGTCTTTATTGATTGATGCGATTAATACCAAGGGCGGATGAGATGTTGCCATACATCATCATGTTTAATATTCTTGAATTTTTTTATGCGTTTCAATGCTCTTTTGACTTTACTTCAAACCAGCGGGCGTAGCTAACAAAGACTATCACAAGAGTTAGGTTAGCATTCGAATTCTGTCAACGGCGATGAAAGGTTACTATGTTAAAAATGTATAGGGCATCTGTAAGTATCGAAGACACAGCTTCATTCTCTATCTGTCAGATTAGAATATAGTCCAATTTACATCCTTCCAACGTATCGTCCGGCCGGGATTGGGGTGTCATCCATTTTTTTAACTTTACTTCAAAAAAATAAAAACTCTTTTCACTTTTAATAGGGTGTGTTTGGGTCAGCATTTGACCTCACAATGAGCTTAATTTTGATAGTCAGAAAAATTATAGAGTAAAATGGTATAAAGATTTTTCTGATAATCTTTTACATAATTTTTAACATACAATATTTTTTAATTTGGAGTAGGTCGGGACCTTTCAAAAACAAAATTTGGAGTGGATCGGGGCCTAATCATCCCCCTAAATACGCCTCTTGATTCAGTCAATTAATTTACATATAAGCACCCTAAGTATCTTGTTTGAATGAAAATCTCAACTAGCAATTTTTACATTTTCCGACCGTTATTTCAATTGTGTTTTCAAAGAAGTCTGTTATTCAACTAGCATTTCAATTCTAAGCGTTTTTACTCAGCTCCAGAGAATAATTTCTAAGACAAATAATAGACTAACCTCGTTTTGTTTGTCCAAAGTCCAAACAATATTATTGAAAACTATCTAAAATAACTGCCTTCAGCAAATTCAGCTACAATATTAACTTAAACCTTTTTTCTTTTAAATGTTACCTGAGTCACCATGTGAAACAAAAAAATGTGTTCGAAAAAACAAAATTAGATGATAATGTTGATGGATAAAATATGTGGTTTATCATACGGGCTCTAAATTATAAAAAAAATACATTTTTAAATTCTAGGCATAGTTTACAATATCTTTGATTTTATACTTTTCAGTAATTAATTAATAAAACTCAATAAAATCCATATGCCCTTAGAAACAATTTTTATTTTCATTTTTTAGTTTATAGCACTACTTGATCTTAAATTAAAAAAAAAGTAAGCAAAAACCCTGAATAATTGTGAGTTTTTTAAAGACATATAATTGTGATCTTTATTATTGAAAATTTTATTTTTACTAAATTTAGTTAAAACATTCAAATAGAAAAGTCAGAAATTTAATTAAAACACTCGAATAAAGAAAGTGAGTAGTTAGTTGTAGGATGAGCAGAGTGTACATCATCATCACGACCCGTGTAGGGTAACCTGCAAAGGCTCCCACTATTGTAGGGTAAGGTGAGATCGAATGTACGTTATTTCACCCCAGTACTACTATTTTTAAAAAACCTGACCGGGGAGCGACCCGGTCACATGATTGGATCACAGGTCAATCTGGATTGGTGGGTCAACCCGATCAACACCAGAAAACTGGTCAACGATTATATGTCTATATAATAATAAACATATAATTATATACAAATTTATAATAAAAAGTACGGTGTAGTTATTATTCATAATAATCAACTAACAGTACTACTTATTAAGCATTTAATACACTCTCATAGAATTTCAAAGTATAATTTTGATCCTATAAAAATATATAATGATATTTTTATTTGTACTGTAAATTTATATTATAATTTGGGATGATTTTCATTCTTAACTAAATATATAAATGTATTACATAGTTTTTCTTTTTAGTGTATTAAAATTGCAATTTTATTGGTTTAAAAAATGCATTAAAATTAAAAAAGAAATTACTTCTTTTTTTTTTTTTTGAAAAACACCCAAAACCGGGGTTTCCCGGTTTTTCGGGTTTCTTGGGCCCTGGTCCGGACCGGGTTTTTCCGGTTTTTGACAATTTCTAGGTTTTGAACAAACCGAACCAGGTTTATATCCAGGTCGCCGGGTCCCGGACCGACCCATCCGGGTTGGGTCGGTTTTTTAAACATAGCAGTAGTAAAGCACAGAGAAACTGTTTTCGAATGACCTATAGACTATAGTGAATATCATGTTAAAAATTGCATAGACTGACTGCTGTTTCATAACAAAGAAACGTAAACAGTTTAGTGAACCATTAGACTTTATTAAATCGTATTCCTAAGCTAAAAAAATAGTGAGACTTTGATTCCATTCCAAATGAATGAAATGATGAAAATGATGAGGAGAGTGTACACAACATAAAAGTAAAATTATTGTAACTAATAAAGAGCTAATGAGTAGTACTTTTAACGTGCCATTATGACCACTATACCCGTAGGGGTAGCTCAGTTGGTCAAATGGTGGAAAAATTGGAGGAATGGTCAAGGTTCAAAAACTCCAGCGGTCGTGTGAAGATTACACCTTATGTGTGTTGGGCTAGACCTTTGTTGTGCACGGATATAAAGTTTACTATCGTTGACTTGACTGAGTAACCGTGATTTATAACCTCTCATATGTTATGTCGGATTGGGGCGTGGGACCTTGGAGTTGGTACAAGTCATTCCATTTTTTTCTTATTTCTTCAAGAAATCAAGAATAAGAAATTCAATGAACATTTTTTTCAAATAAGATAACACTTTTGAAATTCGTGAATCCATTTTCTTTTTGGAAAGGAACAAGTTGAATTAATCATTAATCAAATAGAAATTAGTTCAAATAGGACTAAAACTATGGCAAAAACCTAAAATAGGACTTGCTATGTTTTTATTCCAAAATAGGACCATATGAGTCCTATTGGAAACATACCTATTTTTGCATTCCATTCTTACCCTTCCATTAAATATGAATTAAAAATAGTCAAAAGCCATAATTAAATGTTTAATTCATAATAAATTCGAAAAAAAATAAAAAATTCGTAGAAATATAATTAAAAAATTTATAAAATTTTTATAAAATAAAAAATTCATAAACTTTTTTTTAAAATAATTTTGTTTTTAAAAAAATTAATAAAAAATAGTAAAACTCCGTAAAAAAAAATAAAAAATATGGATGCCTTTCCCACCGCCTGTACTACCTCCCAGCACCACCACCTCCGGCCGATGAAAAAAATGACATTTTCCCAGAAAAATGCCATTTTTTTCTGAAAATGCCAACAAAGTGGCATATTTCTCTTTTCGAATGCCAACATTTTCATTTTTTTCTGCCATAAATATGGCATTCGTAATGAACTTGGCATTTTTTCCCCTGGTGACTGGAGGTGGTGGTGCTGAGGCGGCAGAGGCGGCGGCGATTTTTTTTTTTGAGTTTTTACTTTTTTTTATTTTTTTTTAATTTTTTTAATTTTTTGAAAAAAAAATAATTAAATTTTTAATATCGAAATGTTTTTCTTAATTTTTTAGTATTTTTTACGAATTTTTATTATTTTTTATTATTTTATTAGGAATTAAAACATTTTAATAGCTATAAGGGTATAATTGTCCAAGGTACACATAATTAGTCCTATGCAAACATAGTTCATTTTTTAGTCCTATTTGTGAAAAGTGAATGACTTTTAGTCCTATTTTGATAATTAACTCTTAATCAAATCAAAATAAGAGTATAAAATATGAGGAGGAGGGGGATGCTAGTCATAAAACAGACATAGAACATCTTCCCCAACAACATCAAACATCAGGGGCACCGGGCAACACAATGCGGAATCTAAAGTTTCATGGGTTATATTAATAGGTAGTACTAGATTAAGTGGTTAACTTAACATAAGATTAAAGTTTCTCTCAGCTCCCATGGATTATTTCGTAAATTGACGTACAAAGATATATCTAAATTAATTTTTTCATATGTTAACGAGTGTTCTTGGGAATCTTGGGGCATTGTGTAGTTTGAAAATAGAAAATAGAAAGAGTTATTCCAAACAAATGCTTCAAAATTATACTAGTATAGTACATGTGCATACGTACGGGAAAAAGCAGTTGGTGCATACATTTTTACTCATAATCTAATTAAATATTAAAATAAAAATAATCTTTTAGGAATTTACATTTTCGAAAAATAAGAGTGCAATAATCTAATATCATAAAGAGCATATTAGGAAAAATTAAGGGGGATTTTGAGTTTGCATCCCACTTTTGGGGTGATATTGGACTTTGCACCGCATTTTCAAAACATTTAGACTTTGCACCGCATTTTCAAAACATTTTGTGAAGAAAAATTCCTGAATGAGGTGCAAAGGCAAAGACATTTTAGGGAAAATAGGCTGCAGAGTCTAAGAGTTTTAAAAATGGGGTGCAAAGTCTAATATCACCCAAAAAGTGAGGTGCAAAGTCAAAATATCCCATTATTAATTAGAACTGGCAACCTATTTATTTTCATGATTAAATTAATTTAAAATAAAATACTATTCTAAAAAAGTGAATACAATAAGTGAATGACATAAATTTTAAGTGAATAATATTAAAATTAATGAATATCACTTGAATGTAATTATATAACACCCTAGAGGAAAGCTTGTGCTTTGTAAATGGCTCCCAGCAATCCAGGTGAACTAATCTGAATATCAAAGATAATAGAGCAAAAGAAACGTCAAAATAAAAGCAACTTTCTTACAATGTCTAGAGCAAATTTGTAATCTTGGGACTATTCATAGAACTCATGTCAAGCTTTCTGTTCTCAGATAATGAAGGTGTTTGGATGGCAACGTTTTACTCCAAAATGCCAACTTTTTATAATTACAAACGCTGCAAAATGCAGCGTTTTTGCACCCACCTGCCAAAAAACAAACACGGCCAATGTTTAGAAAGTATAACTAAATTAGCTTAAAGAAACTCAAACTATTAAGACATTTTAATTTGTTAATGGCGCCTACATCGATCACAACATGAATACATCCATACAATATCAGTATAGCATTCTATAAATTACTATCATATTTTAAAAAATGAAAGAGAATTCCCGCTCAATTGTTGTTGTAGGCTTATCTTATCTTATATACTAAATAGAACAACATATG